GTATTGCAACACTAGCTGCTGTGATACTCTGGGCGTGGATATGGATCCTCATGTTCACACGTCTATTCCTTGGCGGCCATTTTGCTAGCAACAAGTCCCGATGGATCATCGATGCTAGTACTTGGTGGCTTGGTGTTGTATTCTTCTTGGACTTTTTCTGGGGTTTGGCGGTCATTGCGGGTGTGCAACGCGCCACGACGGCAGCCACGGTATCTCAATGGTACTTCCACCGCAACAGCGTGCCTGCGCCCGCGGCTAGAACGGTGGTCCAAGCCTCTCTCAGTCACGCGACCTACACCATGGCCGGCACGATCTGTTTGTCAACACTGATCTCACTCCTGGTCCGCCTTCCCCTCATCGTACTTCCAAGGCGACTGGCGGGTATGATTGGCATGTGCGCATATTCAGTCGTGCCGACCCCCATCGCTGCATTGACGAACCCGCTTACCCTGACCTACGCTTCCATTCACGGTGTGCCTCTCAATCAAGCAGCGCGCGGTCTGTCACAGATGAACTTCATCTCCGCTGCTTCACCAACCACAACTCTCGGCCCATCCTCGTTCAAGGACCATGGTCGACCGTCGATTCAGTCATACCGTCTGGCAAAGTTGCTTCTCCACGCCATCCGCTGGGTCATAACATTGTCTCTCGGTTTCGGTGGATGGGTCTCGACTGCACGCATGCTCCAAGTCGGCGGATCTGTACCATACAAAGGCAGTTTGTACGCATACGTCGTGGGTCTCATCAGCGCGGCAATCGGCTGGGGCGCTCTAGGCGCCATGGAAGGAGTTCTCGGGGGTATCCTGGACGCAGTGCTTGTGTGCTGGGGTAGTGAAGTAGGAAGCGACGGGCAAGGAGAGGCTCGGTACTGTGTTGACGCCGGACGGTTGTTCGGCAATGAGGTCACTGGGCAAGGTCGAGGAAGATACGAAGTCTAGAGCATGCTTTTCTTTTTGCATCATTGGCGTTCAGCACCAGAAGAACCTGGATAACAGATACGGTCATGGCGCTTGGGTATACCTATCGTTCATCCTTTTCAAATCGCTTTTGCTATAGGCATTAGCACTCGTATAGTTTTATTCAACTGAGATTGTTACGAAACTATCGTGCCCATTCTACTTTTCTGGATCACAGACTCTGCTACAGGTATGACCCATATAAGCGGTCGTACATGAGGCACGACACCGGGACTGGACTACTCACGTCACCCAGCTTAGGCCTAGCCTTAGGTTCAGGAATGGGCGAGAAGTGGATAACGAACTTGTGTGACCTTCAATCGTCCATGCACATGTGAGTATTGTGTCAAAAGCACAGGGCTGGTCAGTCAAGACCTTCGTACAGGACGCACGAGAGCCTCGCATACCTGTGTTCCCTGAAAAGCGTCGACTCCTGGAACGAAGTGACTCTTGAGAAGACAGTCACAGTATGGGTAGTATAAAAGGCCGGCAGTGAGTTCTGAGAGTGGTCTTCTTTCCTACAACATCTAAAAGAACTATCAATTCACTCAAAACAAAGCAACCCCGAGAGCCTGTATACCTTGACACAACGTTACAGCAGCCACGAATACACCATGTCTTCATTCACAGACGATCATTTGGTTTGGGTTCTCAAGATGCTCGTCGACCCCGCGGACAACGGAGCCAGTCACGAAAACATTGAGCTAGTGGGTGTGTACAGCAGATCAGCGGACGACCAAAAGCTCCTACGGATCGCTCTGCAGAAGCATTGCGGCAATGACCAGGTTGCGGAAAAATGGGTTACCCAGCACCTACAATATAGTAGCAAATTCACCGAAAAGAACACCGATCTAGCGGTCATGAACTCCAACGGAAGCGTCCGCTTTTACATCAAATTTATAATCGAGGAGAACGCTCCTGTCGCAAAAACACTGATGGACCTGTCTGAGGGCGCCTCTGCAACCTTGTACACCGTGAGGACACGATCTGCCGATATGCTCGCGGACCCAGACAGCCCCATGAGGGATGATGATGACAACAATAACGACACCGATGACGAAGACGAAGACGATGCCGGCGAAGAAGACGAGGAGGAAATGGCTGATGAAGAAGAAACGGAGGACGACGAAGCAAAGATTCGAAAAGCCCGTGACGGACGCCGTATAATTGATGGCGAAAATTTCAAGGAGATTGTTCAAAGCGGCAAACGTGAATACTTCATCGGACACGAGGTCAGCACTTTCCTCAATGTGAAGGATGCAATCGAGGAGGTCAAGAAGCAGACTATACCCAACCCTGAGACCCACGGGTACCGATATGGACCTCACAATCGGTTCGGAGTGAATGTTACTGGGAAATTGGCGGGTGATGATACGTTCGAAAGTATGTCCTGGGTCACGAAGGTGGTTGCAAGTGGGAATGAGCGAAAGGATGACTACACTCTCACTACCTAGGTATCCAGGACTGATAGGGGATTTCACTTTACTCTTGTATAGGCTAGATTATTTACATATAACATAATTCTGGTTGAAACCATGATGTACAAGCAACGAGTGAGATTCTGCATGTGATGTTTGCTGGTACCTATTTGCAGATGACGCGTGGTGGCTTCATTCGGCTAGCGCGAAGTCGCGTCAACCCTGACGGTTCCGACGTCCCAGACCAAACCGTACTCACGATCATCACGATGCGCACTCACGACGTGACTTTCATCATCCTTCCGGCGACAGCTACACCGACAGCATATACCGCACAGATATAATACCGCAAAGCCCACCGCACTGCACACTTGAGGGAGCGAACAGTGCGTCTGGAAGGGACATCATGGGTACCGCTGCCATTGAGCCATCATGAACCCCACTTACGAGACTGGAGTCAAATATCAGGCCTCTCCACAGTTACTTTGAGGTCTGAATCATGGCCCTGACTGATTCGTGCGTACGACGGCAAAGCGGCTGCCTCGGTGGTACACAACACGGGTTCGTCATGAGAACAAAGAAAAGAACGTCTGTGCCTGACAGTGATGTGACACATCTGCTGAGTCGAGCGGACATGATGAGCAATGAGCGGATACCAAGTGGAGTTTGTGCGACGTACGTTGGAGTTCTCCTGAGCCGGGCGTCCATCGTAGACTCCTATATTGTGGATCATTTCCACGTTACTGGCTGCGTGAGATCATGACTCCCTGAGTATATAGCCCAGAGGCCTCACCCGGACGTTTTGGCAGTTCATGGGACATCTATTGCTCAATGTGCGGCATAGTCATTCTCTAGTACAACGTGCCGGCTCAGCACTGTGAGTCGGAGACTATATCTATGAGTACTAAAGTGACGAGAGCAGAAGCTCCACTAAAGATAGACTCAGAGTTTGAAAAAGTATAAAAGGCGTCGAGGGTTCCGCAAGTCAAGTCTATCAATCACCAACATTCTCAACTTACTACTTTGCCATACAAGATCTATCATATCCACCAAACTGCCTACTTACATCCGCGATGTCGAGCTCAGACAACCAGGATTCTATCATCATATGGATTGTCGTGGAGAGAGTCCATGAAATGCCTAAATTGGTCCGCCATGGGCCTTACAGCAATGCTAAATGTGACCGAGACCACGAAGCAAAACTCTTCCAGAAAGACTTCGTCAAGCACCACTTGGAAGACGAGCAAGCTACTTTTGGACCGACCACGACGTTCTTCAGAGACGAAACCGACGCCGACGCCATCGAAAAGGCCTTCATCAAGCTGCTTGATACGGGTGAACGACAGAAAATCAGGTTCCGGGGAGGCAACGCTGACGATTGGGATGATTGGGGCTGGATAAGGGTGGAGGGAACGAACCAGGAGGAGGGGGAGACCCAGGAGAAGAGAGTGACCCCGGGGGAGAGAGTGACCCAGGAGGAGAGAGCGAACCAGGAGGAGATGGCAAAATCATTAACGAAACTGATCGCTGGTGAAGACCCTGGCAGCCTGGGACCGCCCAAGAAGCCATATGGAGAAGGTCTTGATCTATATACAGTATTGAGAAGGAAGTGGCCCAGTAGAATGTTCAACAATTGGTTCCACGAACTTGGGCAGTTCGAAACCGAGAAAAAAAATCTCCGCGAGGATGTACGAAATCCGTACCCAGACCACCACGTGTCGTTTTACAAAGAACTGGGACCAGAGGCGAACAGCGAAGCCATCGGCAATTTGGAAACATTCAAAGACCGAGCAGAAGCTGTAAAATACGCGAAGAAGATCGCTAAATCTCCGCACTGGCATCCCTATAACGCAAAAATGGAGACCGATTTGGGCGAAACCGAACACCAGTTCATTTGCATATACCCGAGTGAGGAACAAGGCTTTGAAGAGGTGCTCGTGGTTGATCACTTATACATCAGCAAAGAGGAGAGGGAATGCTGGAAGAGACCTGTGAGACTTTAAAGTGCGCCTTTGACCCAGACTGCGGTCTGGTCCTGGATTGGGCTGGGTCATTCATATGGTACTTCGGTATACGGTATGATTACGATAGATTTGAGGTGGAAGAGACCGCTCCAGGAGGAGCCTGTTCCCTCTACGGCATACTCGGGGCGTAGACTCCTGAAGGGTATTTGGCGGAACGTGTAGCATGGGAACTGCCTGGTTTTGAGAGTTTAATCTATCAGCTAGGCTGATGTTTCGATATTTGAATCTTATTTTCGGGTTATGCAAGTATTTGGTTTGTACGAAGGAGGACGTGGGCTAATGCACCTGGGCATCTACGTGGAGGTGATGCATAGAGGTTGAAAATTACACACATCTTTTGCAGGCATCGGTGTATACTGTGGGTTGCGACGTTCGCATGACCACTGACCTGTAGCAATTGCAAAATGATCTAATCAGAGGGCTTGCTGCAGCAAACTCCTAGTTTGGAGAAGTAGAAATGGCGTAAACCTTTTAGCAGACAGAGTTCACTGTGTTTCGTTCGCGTCACTGAGGCCTGCTTCATCATAATCTACTGCCACATTATCTCAGAGACTGTCTTCGGAACTAGAACTACCCGTGTATCAACCCCATTTCTTTTCAAGATGTCCAGTGAGCAAGAAACGCAGGACAAGGCCACGTATTGGATCATTATCGACAATGTGGGAAGACCAACCTACAAAATGTCCATTAGTGGAGTCTTCAGCATTAGCGCAGACTGCCGACAGCGCGAGAGGAGTCGCTTCACCCAACATATGGTCAACCTATATCCTGAAGCCGTCAATCAAGGCCCTTGGGCAGAATTTGAATACCGGCGGCGTCTCCACCGCGCATGCGACGATTTGTTCAACAACCCTAAGTCTGTTCAGGAGCTTGCACTATGGTCTAACGATACCAAGGCTTTCGAGGAAAAGCAATTACACATTAGTTTAAAGCCAGACAAAGACTTCCAGGGGAAGGTCACTGACGAGTTAGACGAAATCCTATTGAATCAAGCGAAGCAACCTCCCGAAGACTCAAAAAGAGAGCCGGCAAAACTGAGTTTGTACACCGTAACCGTCAACAGAATTCCTGAGCATATCTTGGAACAGCACTACCCTACGCATAAGGGTTTGCTCGCGGTCGTCGCAAGAGAACTTCGTATGGAAAGATACCGCAGTCTGCAGTTTACGGGAATGGAAGTTGAGAGTATGGAAGTCTTTCTGAACCGGGAGGACGCTATCGAGTACGCGGAACAGCTAGATTGTAAGCATGAGGTTGAGGAGTTTGATATTGATCCTGAGCAGATCGATCATCCGGGGCTTCCCACGGCAGGTCAGCCGGAACATCGGGCGATCTGCGAGGCTCTTCCAAAGGACAAAGACGAGCCTTATAGGGTGATAATGCTTAGCCATACTGTTGTGTACGCTGTACCGTCATCATAGGATTAACTAATTTGGGATATGAGGCTCGATGATGCTGGTCGGTCAGGGTATCTAGGTGGTAGTATCCAGAGAGGGGACTGAAGTGAATGAATAATGCATCTTCCCCGTACTTACGCTGTTTAGTGGCAGAACGTATCTAACTTTGCAAAGCATTGCTGTAGGCTTCACGAAGAAGAACTTGTATTATGATTCGAGGTGAAGTGGAGTTAGAACCTTTGCGTCTGATCTGGTATCGCAAGTATTAGAGGGTTGGTGGATGTAGGTCGGCTTTGAGTTGTTACGTTGTACTCAGTCTTCGAGGTCATGAGTTTGGAGTCAAAGTGTTACGTGGTTAAATCTAGTCTTGGAGTCAGCCTATGACGAAAAGGCCATGTCCAGTCACTATGGGTGAGTCAGGGCTCCTCATGCATAAAAGCAGAACTCAATACAAATCATTTGCTGGTGCATACTATTATCGTTCCCCCATCACGAACAGTACCATACTCATATCACTACTCTACCAACCTACACATTACTTATCATGTCCGGTTTCACGGAGCATACCATATTTTGGCTTACGCTATCTAAATCACAAGACCGTTGTATCGAGTCCGGTGGCATCTACGGCAATTCGGAGAAGCAACAACAATTGATGAAGGCAAAGATTTTGGGAAAGTGTAACACATTGACCGACCATGACATAACATCAGAAAAGCGGCTCGACGAAGAGTTGGTCAAATGGCGGAATAAAGCGGACGGATATTTGAGGTACACGTACGCAAATGGGAAGGATCTCCTCTTCTCTATTGAAAAGGAGAGAGATGACAATGAGGAGGTCGCGAAGGCACTTCAGTCACCACAACCGGTGGACCTTTGGGCCTACAGGAGATATGCAATGGTGCAAGACGAGTGGGATCGCCTTATGATAGAGGGTGTCGCAACGCCAGAGCTACCCGTGACGCCGGAGCGCATCGTGCTCGAAGATCCTGTAACTCTCGAGAATAAAGTGCTCGACCCCATGATAAGGGGTAATGGTCACCCGAGCCTCCCATTTTGGGATGACTTCAAGAGCTTTATAAGTAAGGACAAAGCCATCATCCACGCAAAAGTCGAACTTTATAAGAAGCGGAGTAGTCGCTGGACTCCAACTCCACCGCCGATGGAGGGAGAGCACGGCGCTTGGTTTGGAATCGTCCGGATCGAATGCCCTATCAAGGACGGGGACGAAGGAGAGAATCCGCGTTATGTCCTGGCACGTTTCTACACTGTTTTTCCATACCGTCAGCTCCGGGACTTTGAAGGGTATGAATCAGAGTCAAGTGTTTGACTCTGTTGAGAAGGTGTGTCGGCCTGGGGCATCCTGGGTTTATTTAACATTAATTTGAACGGTCAAGCTCAGTATATGAACCATAATTAAAAGGTTGAGTGATATGTTTCGAGTCGCAAGCCTTCTGAAGTAGAACAGTGTATGCTGGCCTCAGTAGCTACTAAAGCATGAGATTACAGTTGGTGAAGATTCAGTCATACGGGTTTGATCGTGGATAGTATTGAGAGCGTATAATTTGACCTGGAGGAGCTTGGAAGCTATTGAACGCGATCGAGATCGGAGATTTTAAGCATGACCATTCTAAGGTCCTTTTAGCAAGGGAATGAGCATGAAAGCTTGGAATGTGGTGATGATTTCAGAAGCTTTCTCAACGAGTCCGATGGCATCTAACATGCGAGCAGCGAGCTTCGCAAAGGGCAAGAAGATGAAAGGAACTCCAAGGAGTTGGGCCCACTGGTACGATTTCCTTGGCAGGGTTTTGTGAGAGTACGCCTGGAGAGCCATCAGAGCCCTGTAAGGTAGTGGGGCAATTCGGCGTGGTTGTCAAATGTGCTTCCTGATCTGGAGCTAGATTACACGATGTAAACGATTAGTGTATTGAGACGTCGTGGTGGGTAGCGGTCGCCTCCATTGGCATCGTATTGGATGGTCAGCGTATATGCTAAGTAATTGAGCAACGTATGGTGCTGGCAAAGTCTGCTACGAATACCCTAAACTCTTTCTGACTCGTACGTTGGATACTGTCACAGCGGCATAGGAAGATCTGTGCGCTGCGAAAGGTATTATGGAGGTCCGTGTGTGCGTTGGATCGTGACTGTCGAGGTTGAGTCATTACTTCGATCATTTCATGTATAAACACTCTACCGAATTCGTTTCCGGAACTTTGAACTTGTATCTATCACACATATAAGCCCAAGGTCAGCAAGCTTCATACCACCACAGAACTAGTACAGTCTTCGCGTAAAATGGCCGTCAACAAAGACCTCAACCCAGACAAGGACCTCGTTTACTTAGAAGTAACCTACACCACGAAGATCGATCTAATCGGGCCCTACTTGATCACCGACCACGGCCTCGATGCGGCACGGAAGCGCCTCTTCAAACTCTGCAAACTGAACATCGAAGGCACGAACGAAATCCTACTTGCATAGATCAGAGATGACATTAACAAATTGGAATATAACCTACAAGCTCTCAACAAGGGCCTGACTTTCAACGACGATCAACACCGCGTACTTGGTACGGTCAGCAGCTCGTTGTCGTCCAGCGCTGAAGTTGTGGAACGTATCCGGAAAGAGAAAGAAAGAGGAGAGAAAGCAGATTTATACACTGTTTACTCGTGGAGCATGCACAAAAAGGATTTGATGGATTGGCAAGAATGCTTCGCACCATACAAAAAGGCAGAAGACGTGCTCATTTGGCCTTGCAAGCAGGAATCGAATGGTGTTGAAACTCGGTTGAGCGAAATTGGTGCCCAGACAGAGTCATTGTTGACAACACGCGGCGAAATGCGGAAGCTAAGCCAAGCCGAGACAGACACAGAGAAATGGCTCAACGCTTATAAGAATACGCGACAGGTCATAATAGTCTTGAGGGTTGTCGCGAACGATGCCGAGGGATAGTTGGAAATGTTCATATTGAAGTCGAATGATAACACCTTTGAGTCAGCGAAGCTGTGTCATACTGAAGTGACTGCGAGAATGACCCGGCCAAGCCATGACTACAATGACTGTAACTCATGCCTAATGACTCACGTCTTTGGTATATAAAGCGTGGTCCCTCTGCTTCTCCTGCTTCTATAACAACCTCGAACGTCGGTGTCAGCATTCAACCCCGAAAACGCCATTTCCACCCAACGAGCATCCCCGATTTCTACGCCCATGATGACCGATCATTCCGAAAACGTGTACTACTGCCTAGTTTACTGCCCTCGCGAGGACATGGACGACGGCGAAGAGTTCGGCGGAATATTCGGAAACTCCCCTGAGCAGCGGGAGCTTTTAGAAAAGACCGTACGCAACTTCTGTGAAGAAAAGTCTCGTTCACTCAAGTTAAAGTCGGACAACTCCATCCTCGACCAACCCTTCGTAAAGCAAGAGGGCCGAAATGAGTTAGAGAATCTGTCGCTTGTGGACGAGGACGGCGAAGTGCTCTTGGTAATTACCAAGGCAGCGGATGTCGACCAGCAGGTGACGGACGCACTAAATCAACCGACCCCACAAAGTCTCAACCTGTGTAGGATTATATCGTTCCCTCCAGACTATTTCGAAGACCCATTGCCAGAGGAAGTCGAGGACAGATGGGATGCCGTAACACCATACATAACACCTGGTCATGATTCGTTCCTCTTCGGGGGGCTTGTGGCTACATATGTCTCAATGGCGGATGCCAGAGCGCATGCGCTTGCTGAGTGCCAGAAACGAACGGATCCGAAAAATGGGAAGGATTCGGACGTATTGAACATGGATGATCGGTTTTGGCTAAGTGCTACAACTGAAGAAGGGCGATTAAGGCATATTATCGTTGTTGGAAAGTGGAGACGTCGACGCGCTACTGGCAAATGGGTACACGGGAAGATGAGATGATCCGGATAGTAACACAGCGTTCAAGACCTCGAGAAAGAACCGAGAAGGGAGCCGGGTGGGCCTTTAAAGGTACATCTACTTTCCCGAGTTGTCTTATGATAGCTGGTGATTGTAATGGGCGTGAAAACTGATGATTATGGGCCACTAATTCTTTTGACTGTTGCTCTTCAACGAAACGAGTCTGTCGTTTCGAGGTGGTCATAGATAGGTCTAAGCAGCCAGTTATACGAATAGGAAATTATTGGTGATGTGTTCCAGAGAAGTCAGCGTGCCTGCGTCATGGCTCGGTTGGTGACTAGCGCGAGTCGACGCGTAGTGAAGCGGGACCCGATCAACACGGCTACTGCAGCCCAAACACGACTCGGCGCAGCGAACAAGCAACACCAAAGCACCCCGGGCTCCATGGAGTGCCCTGCCCGCCAACATGTCCTCCCGCAACGTGCCCACGATGAAGTCGCTGTCCGGCGCTGATCGCCGCTCCGTCAATGCCAACTACACGTCAACTGCGCGACCCCGCGTCGCTTCTGGAGAGGAACTCGACCGCCGTAGCTCCACCACCGCAGCGTCACATGCCAGGAAACAGTCAGCACCCATGCGCGCAACAGGCGCGACCTCGGGCGAGCGTCGCGTGGAGAAGAAGGAGGTGCGCGAGCGGGAGACGGAGATCAGGCGAACAAAGAGCCCGTTGAAGCATGCCAGTGAAAGCAGGGCGAATGCGCGAAGCCGCTCAGAGAAACTCCCGCGCGACGTCGACCGACCCTCACGCAGCGCCGCCTCGCAAAAGTCTATTCCCGAAGAGCCCCAGATGCCGTGGGAACCGCAGGCTTCTTTGATACCGCACACGACCGCCCCGCTGGCGACGCGCATCTCGATACCTCCCCTCGCATCCACCGCGCCTATATCGCTGCAGCCCACTCCACTTGCAAAACTATCGCTAGAAGCACAAGAGAAGGCTATACTGGAAGATCTGTTGTTTGTTTTCATGGGTTTTGAGGGGCAGTACATTCGATTCGGCGATGGCTACAATCCCCATGAAGAGAAGGAACGTCTGGTCGGGCCACAGTTCCGCCTGATGCCCGGCCTGGACCCTAGTCTGAGGGATCTGACCAAGTCGATGCTGAAGACTGCTACACACTACATCGCCGTCGAGACCTGCGTAGAGGTGCTCAGTCGGGAAGAGTACGGTGCCGTGAACCATGCGTTGTGCGCAGCTGTACGACGGTTGCTCAAGGACTACCTCATACTCGTTGCCCAACTTGAGCACCAGCTGCTCACGAACGAGTCCTTCACTCTGCACGTCTTGAGTCTGCATACCAAGCAGACTAGCCACATGCTCTTCCAGCTCTACACCACCGGGATCGAGCTGCTGAAAGCTAACGGTATTTTGGAAGATGAGAAAGACGAAGACTCAGCCGATGACGACAGCAATGACTTCGAAAATATCTTGGAGTCGTTGCGCGAAGGAGGAAACGCTGCCAAGAAGCTCTGCAAAGGCGGGAGCGTGCTCGGACTCATCACCAAGCGGCTATCGTCCATGTCGGGAGATCCAGCGGCTCGCGCACTACTGACCACACTACTACGAGAGGCTAGCAGACCGTATATGGCTATGTTGAACGAGTGGCTACATCACGGCGGCATCAAGGACCCGCATTCCGAGTTCCTGATCAAAGAGCAGAGAAGCATCAAGCGAGAAAGATTAGACCAGGATTATACGGACGAGTATTGGGAGAAGAGATATACGATACGCGATGCTCTTGTGCCTCCACAGCTGGAAGCCGTCAAAGACAAGGTGCTCCTGGCAGGAAAGTACCTCAACGTTGTAAGGGAGTGCGGAGGCGTCGACGTTAGTAAAGTCGTGCAAGACGCGCCAACCAGCTTCGACGATCCACGCTTCCTAGACAACGTCAATTCCTCATACGCATACGCAAACTCCTCGCTCCTCAATCTGCTTCTCACTACACACCAACTGCCGGCACGATTACGTTCACTAAAGCACTACTTCTTCCTCGATCGCTCCGACTTCTTCACCTACTTCCTCGAGATGAGCGAGCTCGAGCTCAAGAAACCAGCAAAGCATGTTAACGTCGGCAAGCTGCAGTCGTTGTTGGATCTCGCCACCCGACATGCTGGATCAGTCGCCGTGGAGGACCCATACAAAGAGGACATCAAAGTTCAGATTAACGATACTGGACTCACGAACTGGCTCATGAAGATCGTCAACGTTCAGGGTCTTGATCAAGATGCTGCCACCGCGACCTTGTCGAATTACACACCTGCGAACTCAGCGCCGATCACCGACGACACAAACATCACGGGATACCAAGCACTAGTCTTTGACTACGCCATGCCTTTCCCACTGTCACTGGTGGTTAGCAGAGTCACACTCACTCGTTACCAACTACTTTTCCGATACCTACTGAGCTTGAAGCACCTCGAAACGGATCTAGCCAAGTGCTGGGGTGAACAGGGCAAGAACGCCGCCTGGAAACACCGATCCAAAAACCCGCGTATCGAACAGTGGAAACGCCGGGCGTGGACACTGCGAGCGCGCATGCTGGTCTTCGTCCAACAACTTACGTACTACTGCACATCAGAGGTCATTGAGCCCAACTGGGCATCTTTGATGTCGCGGATAAGCGAAGAGAAGAAGCAGGACGCAAGGGCCAAGGGCAAGGCAACGGAGGATGAGAGCGGTGGCCCTCAAGTGAAGCGCACTGTGGATGAGCTGATGCAGGACCATGTTGACTTCCTCGCGACTTGCTTGAAGGAATGCATGCTTACTAACAGTAAGCTGCTTCGAGTAAGTCTAAGAACACTTTTACAGCCTGTACGGCTGCTAATTACCCTCAGATCAACAACAAAATCATGTCAACATGCAGCATGTTCGCGTCCTTCACTTACTCTCTGTCCCGCTACCTCGTCACCGGTGATCCGGACCTAGTCGCCCAAGTTAACGCCTCTTTCGCTCCTCCTCCCCCCGCCAAAAATTCCAAGAATCCCGCTGTTACACTAGTCGCTTCTACCCACCGGCCCACAACGCAGTTCGTATACGACCCCCAGCGCGTCGACAAAATGTTCGACATGCTAGCCAAGTACGAGGAGAACTTCACCCGGCATCTTAAGATCCTGCTGGACACACTCAACTACCTCGCTGCCACCGAGACAGTAGTCTTCTTGAGTCTGTGCGCACGGTTGACGAGTGCTGGAGAGGGTTTGAGTGGCTTTCAGGTACCCATGGGTATGGAGGGTATTGCTTAGTAGGCTTCGGCCTTGTGGGCATTGGCGTTGTTTTTATGCATTGCATTATTCTGGGTTATTGGTATGGGTTAGGGATTCAGTCTGCAAGGCGCCAAGCGAGCGATACCATAGTTGTTTGGAATGAGACGCAACGAATTACGGCCATAAGGTTCTTCAGTCTTGATAAGTGCGGCATCACACGTCATGTTTGATTTATGAACGAGGCATTTGCTCATATTCGAAGTAATTGGTACTGCCTACTCTACGTGGACGCTTCTAGTACGTCTTGAATGGACACCCCTTGTCAGCACTCGAGCTCTTCGTCTTCTCCTTCACCAACTTCGTAGTGAAATCCATCAGTTGCTCGCCCAGCTTCTCGTTGTTCGCCAAGTCACTACCCGGCTCGCGTATCGCAGGCGGGCAAATGTACTCGCCAGTACCTTCTGTCTTGGTTGCAGCATACATGGTGCTTACGCAACCCTCAAACTGTGTCTTCTTGAACGGCGCCATACCAACGCTCATAGCGTAGCCACCCAACGGGTAGGGTTCGTGGATCATGTCGACAGATTGCCGTGTCTCGACGAAACCGGGGTGTGTGGCGTTGGACAAGATGTTGGGGTGCGATGTAGAGAGGTGACGAGCCAGATAACGTGCGTAAAGGATGGAAGCGAGCTTTGTGCGGCCGTACTGTCCCATGGCGCCGAGGTCTTGGTTGAGCTCTTCGAGAGATTCAAATTTGACGTCCTTGGGCGCGCTCTCGTGTGCGTTGGATCCGAGCTGTACAAGACGGACCTTGTTGCCCTTGTCGGCTGTCGACTTGATCAAAGGCAGCAAGTGGGAGGTAAGGACTACATGGCCCATGTGGTTGATAGCCATGTGTAGATCGACACCGTTCTTCGCCAGCTGGTATGTCATGATACCTCTTGCAGCGTTGTTGATCAGGATATCAATCCGGTCTGTCTTCTTCGCGATCTCGAAAGCGACTTTGCCAGTTGCTTCCCAGTCCGAGAGATCGCACTTCATCCATTCCACCCTGCTGGCCTTGTCCTCGCCCATCTCCTCCTTGATGGCTTTGAGTGCATCGTCGATGATGTCTTCACTCATGGAGATGATGAAGAGCTTCTTGATGTTGTGTGAGAGGAGATTGTGTGTGCATCCGTAACCAATTCCCTCTGAGCCACCAGTCACTACGGCGACCTTGCCGCTGAGATCTGGCACTTCCTCGAGCGAAAACCGTTGATCCGCGGGTGCGAGATCATGAGCGCCCGAGACGACCTTGCCGAGATTCTCGGCAATGGCGTTCTTTACTGACTGCATGGTAAAGGATGTTTCAACTGGTCCTTTGAGACGGTCGTTATTGTTTGGAGGAGTTGATGAATAAGCCCTGGAAGTAGTAGAAGTGATCCCAGCAACGGATACGCGTGGTAAGGATGATGTAGTTACAAAAGATGACTTGCAGCAACGCAGGGAGACGGCACCTCTAAATAACTTAGTAGACTGCATGGTTACAGCATGTGTCACAGGACAGCAGCAACCATCGTATTAGCACAAGATCTGAGGTCATGGTATACCGTGACGAGCCGCCTTCCGCGGAGCGAAAGCAGCCAATGCCATTTTGTCTTGATGTCAGCACTTTTTCCTTTTGGCGCGTTCCTGGATGTTGTGGAGCGCGCATCGGGAGCGGATCGTTGATGATCTCGTCATGACGCGTTGATGGACGCCTGCATGGCCTGCGTGTTGGCGACGCTGGAGGTCTGGAACTATGACGTGTTGGGCATAGTGGGGGCGGTCGTTATCGATAACGGCGCGACTTCCGAGGTCAGCTTCACGCGACGTTGGTGGTCCCCTAATCGAGCAGACGAGAGCATCGTCGCTACCCTCATCCACGACACTATGGTAGGAACGCTCAACGGATACAGGAATCTCAGGTATGTACATCTTCATTTGGAGTAAGTGCGTCCGCGGGAAGACAGCAAACGCAATGGCTCCTTCTCAACACCGCAAGCTGTGTAGTGAATGCGAGCGATTGGAAAGCGACACAAACCCAAACATCACTGCGCAATCCCAAAGCCTCAATACCACCGTTTTATTGCTGTCAGCTGCAAACCTTCACCGACCGAACAATGTTCAAAGCAAGACCGGGAAAGAGCACTAACATGCGGCAGAGTGCGATTTCACATTATCTTCACCCAGACCGGGCCGCCATGATCTCATCAGCAGACCAAGCCGCCTCAGCCGCGCGTGAGCAGAACGCCGCCAACCCACCGGTATTCGAAAAGCCACCCACGAGTACCACGCCTCTCCCGCCCGATGTGGCAGCCGCTCGCAAAGCTCGCATGAACGCCGACTTGATCGGTGCCTTCAAGAGCACTTGCCCGCCCGGCACAACCCCCTACATAACAGGTGTCGGATTGTATACCCACGTTGAGGGCGCACCACCCCAGTCGCCAATGTATCCCGATGAGAACCCACAGCCACAGCCCGAATTCTTTCCGATACGCATACCAGAGGCTCGAGGCAACGAGAGCTCACAACCGGATGAAGAGGTCCAGAAGCTGTGGAATGAACTCGAGCTTGCCGTCGAAACAGAAGAAGAGTTGATTGCTACAACCGAACTTGGGCTTAAGGAGCTTAGGAAGCGGTATCGTGCTCTTCCTCCGCCTAAGAACTCGCGGTCGCCGGTACAGCGCGGTCAGCAGCAGTCGGATGTGACGCAAGGAGATACAGCAGCTCAGGGTGGTACAACAACGAGTGCAGGAAGCATGAGCGCTCCCAGCGCGCCCACCAAACCGCGCGGCCAGTCGCTAGCTAGCGTAATGTCTACTCTTGCGGTAGGAAATGGAAGTGCGGACAGAGGAGGCACCGAAGTGGAGCGAGGCAGAACGACAACCACTACATCGACTACGGGCTTCTACGCTCCCGATCCACGCAGATAGGGACGATGAGAGTCAAGAAGGATGGAGACAACTCCACAACACAGCACACGGGATCATGCTCGAAAATGGCTATTGGACTGACTTTCTTCTTGGTCTGCGCTACGTTCGGATATACTGTCAGTGTGAGTCTGTCATGATGTTGATGGGCTGGACTTCGAGGCTGTGTGTATGTTAAACCCATCACATTGATGCTCTCATACTTTCAAGCTTCCAAGCCAAACAAATCCTTCATATACATGATTGAGATGCTAAAGCATCATACGTACCTCGCTACATACATCGCACCAAAGACTATTCTTCCACACAGAGCAACCTCATTCCACGACTCATGTTATCTCTTCATAACCAACACTTACCCCATCAGGATCCACATGCGCCACACGCATACCTGTTCCATAGCTAAGAATAAACCAGTTCTCATTCCCCGCCCTCAGCCCGCGTCGTATCCACGAGGCGTTGCGCCTCTCATATCTGACTATGATGATGAAGAGCAGTACTATCAAAGCGACGGCTAGTGCCATCATCACAGTAAAGAAATGGTCGATGGCATTTGGTTCAAGATCGCGCGGAGTGGGGGCCATGCTGCACGCACTTGAACCGGGATCGAGCGATGTGAAAAGGGAAGAGTGAAAGGATGAACATGTTGAGCACGATATCGACCTGTTCTTGAGACATTGTGGTGCCGTTGTTTTGCCAAACTGCGGTGCGAACGTGGGTGTATAGTGTGGGTGTAGGAGAGTGATGGAGGCTACGAGGGCATTGTAAAGGAAAACAGCGGAACTAGAGGATGAGGGTTTCTTTACTTCCCAGAAGGGCCAGTCTCTCTAGTGAAAGCAAGCTCACGCGTCTAGTGAAAGATTCATCTTCTCGTTAGTTCCACAGGCATTCCTTAAATGTCCACCAGCGGCCAGACACATACACCCCTCAACCCAATTTTACAATGTCCTTTCTCTGGATGCGCGCGTCATCTCATGGCCTATTGAAAGTAATGCTCGAATCGGCAAAGCAGCTACTGCCAAACATCGGAGCCCTTATCCTCGCGTTCTTAGTGTGGCTTGAGCTCAAGACTGGAGTCGTCCTTGCCTCCTTCGCACTATACGATGAGCATCCTCGCTTCTTCCACACCCTTTTACTGGCAATCGGTATCGGAGTCGTGTATAAGCTCGCCCGCTTTATCCTCCGGCTGCAAAGTACGCGAAAGCCCGCTGATCCATTTAGATCGGCGCCATACAGACACCGACGGGAGACGACACCTATGTTCCCGCCGGGTATGGAGTTCAACCGGGTCCAGGAAAGGTGGAAGAAAGAGGGTATGGAGAAGCCATTCGTCGAGGAGCGGGTATTTGGAGCAAAAAGACCGGAGGAGGTGCCTCCAGTGCGAAGACCGCTGTTCAGTGTTCCTACAAGCACTTTACCACGGCCGCAGTCAAAGAGACCGCCGGTGAATGCGGCGTTTGGGAAGGCTGGTTGGAGCTAGGGCGTTGACAGCGATGTGAGGCTTTCTTTTGGGGGGCGATTCTAGGATCTGTGTATCGTTGCGCGGAGACGTCGGATGTCAGAATTTCACTGTACTACTACAGCGCTTAGGATCTTGGGACGTTGTTGTTACTGAAGAACGCTCGAAGAGTGCAGTTGTTGCCGCAGCAACTACGTGGCAAATCACGGCTTGACGGGAATGAATGAAGAGGTCATGTGGCCAGCTTTCGTGTTGTTTGGCTGGCTTTCGTCACATGAGACATGAACAAGAGTTGAGAAACAACTGATTCACTCAATCGAGAGGACCGTGCAGTAATCACGCGCCGATATATCACAACAAACGCTCGCGGTCGCCTATAACTTCCGACAACTTGCTCCTTTGATACCAATCTCCCACCACTTGATCTGATCACCAAGAATTGCCTGCTGCCTCATAATACCATGTCAGGCTTTCTTATCAATCAAGAGCCGCCTACTCGTCTCGAGCGCTTCGTCCAAGACACCATCGACTCATCCAAAGGTTTCTTCGCATATCTCTTCCGCGGAAGCTGTCTGGAATACTGGATGCTTGACCCCAATGGTCAGGCCTATACACTCTTCATGATGACGCTGCTAGGCGTCTCGACTTGGTTGCTCACACCGAACCAAAACTCAAAGACTGTTGTAGCTTCAAAGCCCGAGCAGGACTGGCCGTTGAGCGAAGTGGCTGAGGAGATGGATATCGACGGTGAGGGATATCCTAGCGACGAACACCAACCATTCACTCCGCGTCACTTGTCCTTTCCCCGCGAAGATACATCCATCATGCGCAAGCTAGCACCTCCCGGCTACCATCCTGTCAACGCGCACATCGAAGGCTCGCCTTTTCGCGTGAGACAACCTCTGGGACCTCGCGTTCGCCAATCCGTACCGTCTGTCCATCAGGCTCCCTCTCCACTCAACCCCAGGCTTTCCAAAGCTTTCTCGACTAGACCTCTACAGCGCGATAACTTCTCGAGCCTTCACAAAGATACTCCGATAGCCAACAAGACTCTCCAGGAAACCAGCCGTACTGATGCGCCTGACATCTTTGAGGAGTGCAAGACGCAGAGCCCTGTGGTTGCTCACTGGTCAAATGAGGGCGGCCAGCGTTATGATCGAGCGACCTTGAGGCGCGAAGTGGCTACCAAGTATCTTTCCTAGAGTTGTCGCGTTCTGGGATTCATCCGGTGTGCATCATCGCGGCTTCCCTGTTCACTACTTGGTTTCTGCGTTCTAGGGCTACGGAAGGTGGCATGCGCAGGTGAGAGAAAGTGCGATAGCGATAGCAATGGAGGAAGCGAGGGCCGACGGATGGGGAAGTGTCTGCCTGCGTCATCGGTGACACACACAATAGACACGTGAGAGTAGATAAACAAGCGAATGTGCATCCACTCGACTCTGCAACACCTCTTCTTCTCTCTCTTTCACTTCACCTTGATCGAGTTACAGTCTCACAACAACAACCTGCGATGGCTGCATGCACGAGCTGCGATGCGCCAACTAACCTCAATACTAATGGTAGTCTCCTACCCACGCCCTATGCCGGTATAGGCAGTGACCTGGGCTTATGCCGAATGTGCCGTTGGAGACGACAGAGAGACGCTTGGGCAGCTGCACCGGATTGGAACGCCCTCTTACAGCTGAACCTCCTCTTCATCCGCGGGGAAGTTGACGTCAATCCAAACCACCTTGCTCCCCTCAACGAAGAGTCCATGCCGCTCGTACCTGGCCTCATCGAATTACACAAGTACGGTATTCTCACATGCAATTCCCAGCCATTCGAGAAGTCCAGCGAATTCATCACCGGCAAGGGCTGGGTCCAGAAGCGACAGCGACCTTATCTGCACTTCATGCTCCCGACATTACACCCGGATATCGACATTGAGAGTGTTGATGATCTCATCGAGAGCCTTTTCGCTGATAGAAGCATCCTTGTATCTGTATACTCAGAATGCGACGAGTACGACAGAACAATCACAAGCGATATCAGATTTCGCTGGAGAGTCGCCCCATTGACCACTGGTCGAGACTGCGATACCTACCTCTTCCGTACAAACGCGCATTGGAACAAAGAGACTGTTACTATATGCCGCCAAGCGAAAACTTCCAAAGGCTTGTTGAAGAAAGCCTGGCAAGAATGTACCTTCTTCCCATACACCTCCGCGGCTTTCTTGACGCCTCACACGAATCAGTGCGGTAGCGCAAAAGACGGCAGCAACTTCGAGGCTGCCGTAGCCATGAGGCCCGTAGCAATCGGTATAATGGCACGGAAGTGGGGCGCGGATATCAATCTCCAGGACCTCTTGCTACGGCATTGCAAAAGGATGGCATTGACGAGTGTGCTGAAAGTTGAATCGAGGATTGGACGGCAGCACATGAACTCGGACGGTCAAGGTAGTTCGGGATGCTCAGAGTAAAAGATGGCCTCATGGTGTATGTCGGCGCTTTTCATGCTTATGGTCATCTTATTAGCGCGTGCGGTTGAGAAGAGATTGGGGGAAAGAGGGCCCCAGAGTCAGGGATAATAGGTATCGGCGATGACATCGTCAGCGCAGCACCTTTTGTAGCTACCGACTTTCACCGCGAAGATTGGCAATGTAGTCAGAAATGTATTAAGTTCTTCAATCTGAATGCGTACATCCATATGCCGCGCTCCTGTCTCAGTTACGAGAAGAGAAGATGTCAGAACAGGGATTGGTACCTGCCTAAAGCGGTAAAGCGCATGTAAACCTCAAGGGCGCAGTTCTGACCCATACTTTGGGCTTCTAAAGTATCTCGAACGTTCCTTCTAATGTTAGGTCCTCCATAATTTCAGGTGACTCAATCAATTATTTATCGGGTAGGCGAGCACAAAACGTCGCATGTACTGTCGACTTTCCAGGTATCCAGCGTGCGCATTCCTCTTCCGCGGCATCATAACACAAACACCAAAACGGGCATCATCAGCCCGCCACATCTACGATACGACCACCACGCATTTCATCTTTGATACCTCTCGATCCATCACCACAATGGTAGACCCTCTATCCCAAAGAACAGACCCCCTCTACCAAAAAGATGGCCAAAAACATACCCACACCTCCACCATAACATCAATCCACGCCCTGTCATCCCTACCCGCAGATACCCAGTCCCTCTTCAAACCACCACCAGAAACCGAACCCTATGTCCTGACCACCCCCTCAACCATCTTCCACGCCCAGGGCGGCGGCCAGCCCTCGGATGTTGGAACCATCTTCGCCAGCGACACCACATTCCACGTGCACCAAGTCCGCAAAGTCGATCCCGCAATCCTGCACATGGGCGTCTTCTCTCCCTCTGACAAGAAGTTCGAAGCAAATGGAGGAGAAGCAGAAGCAGAGCAGAAAATCGACACATCGAAACGGCACCTACACTCCCGGATCCACACCGCCGGCCACGTCATCGGTCTCGCCGTCGCCCATCTTAAAACCACTGGTACAATCGCTCCCGACGTCGTCGACGGAAAAGCGTCGCACTACCCCGGCGCCGCATTCGTAGAGTTTTCGGGTCTCATTCCGGGAGACAAGAAAGGCGAAATACAAGCAAGAGTCGATGAGATGGTTGCCGCGGACATGGATGTCAAGATCCATTTCTGGGATGAGGAGAAGGCGAAGAAGGAGTGTACGGGTGTTATGGAGACGCTGAAAGGGGATGAGGAGGATGGCGTTAGGGTTGTGGAGATAGGGAGTGAGGGGAGTTATCCGTGTGGCGGGACGCATGTGCAGAGGCTGAAGGAGTGTGGGAGGGTTGTTCTGAGGAATATTAAGAGGCAGAAGGGGATTACTAAGGTTAGCTATGAGGTGCAAGACGCGTGATGAGATTGAGTGGGTTGGTTATGCACATGGTGTGCAATTGCGATGTGTATTCAGCTTTGTTCCTTCATGGGAAAATATCCACCACTTTTTCTCTACCTGGTATCATTTGTCCTAAATCCTGTTATACCTGCGCCTAACCCCACGTACTATCATGCGCACCTGCCCTCTCATATCGTCTAGAGAGCCTCTCAAATATTCCCGTTGCTCTAGCTCAAGTAAGCAGCCAAAGCTTGCTTCGAAACATCGTCCAAACGTTCTTGCACAATCTTGACGATACGGCCGCCGTGACGGGCATCCGCATCTTTCAAATATTCAGCCACCCAAGCCTTCACATCCGTGATGTCCGGGAAGGGATCGCGTGGAGCCTTCTTGCAGGTGTTCAGCTGGGTGAAGCCGACACCAAAACCGAGCTCGTCAACATCAGCATCGGGGATGATGTCATCTGCGGAAGTGGGCATAGGCGGGTTAACCAGTAGCTCGATCAAGCGCTGTGTGGTAAGGGCCCAACCCTTGGGGTAACGGCTAACGAAAGCTTCCGCATCGCCCAGAGACTTGGTGAACGACACAACTGCGGTCTTGCGGTCGGTTGGGCGGGCAAGCTTCTGGGTGTCGGGAAGAATGACAGTCAAGTAGATAGGCTTGAAGATGCTGTTGCGAAGTTAGTAATTGATGCCTACAATTTGGAGAATCTTTCACTTACTCATTCTGAACCTTATCAGACTCTTTGATGAAGAAGTCGGCGCCAAGCCCCTTGTCCAGTCGCGCTGAAACGAAGTGATAGAACGCAATGAAGCGCTGCTGGAAGTTCTCTGTCTTCATGTTCGATAGTCTTGTGAGCATGAGCTGGAGGATGGTGACAAAGTAGGGTTGTAGCGCATCCGCTGGGATGTGCGCAACGACAGCTTCAATCAGCTCGAACGAGTATGTCTCGTGAGCCTTGCTAGTGACCAGCTTCTGGAAGATACCCAGAATAGGCTCCAATTGGCTGCTTGCCACGATGTTTTGTGCGTCGCGAGCAACCATTGCACTCAATAGTCGAGCTAACGCAGGGACATTACCACGCTGCTCCCAGACGGCACCCTTGAGGATGATGCCGAATACACCCCTGTAGTATTCGCTCAGTTGGCCCGAAGGGTTTGCTTCTAGTAGCGCGGAGAAGATTTGGAATATGTATGGAGAGAATTCCTCAACGTTGTTCTGCAAGCAGGTTGCAAAGGGCTCGTAAAGCTTTTCCTCGAAGAACTGAGGATGCTTTGGGGCACAGAAGCGGACAAGTGCACCTATACCTTCGAACATGTAGTACTGGAAGCGAGGGTTGCTAGGGTTGTGCCTGATGACCTTGACGATGTTGATGAAGCTTTGAAGAATCGACTCGCATATGGGCAGCACATCATCGCGTATGAAGATAAGTACGCGCATAACGCACTTCATCAAGAACTCGTTTTCCTGGATCTTCTCCGGGGCAGAGCTCATTGTGATGAGTTTGAACAAATGCGTCAACAAGTCTTTTGATGAGCCAACAACGTCTGACTTGGGTATTATGGGTTGCCGTTTGTCGTCTGTCATGTACAGAGCACGCTCGACAGCGATGGCAGCGTATGTGTGGATGACGTAATTGTCATTGCCCAATTGGTTCACGAGCAGGGGGAAAGCAGCGCGCCAAAGGTCTGGTGATAGCAGGCTGCGGAAGACGTACAGGAACTTGATAGCATCAACCTTGAGAATGGGCGATACGTTTTGAGCCTGAAGGTCAGCGGCGACGTGTGTCTGGAAGAACTCGAAAATGTTGACGTTCTCGTTGACGCTCATGATACCTTGGCCAGCAGTAGCGGTTCCCTTGGCAGCAATGGCGGTGAAGAGGTAGACTGCGGTATCCTTTGACTTCCAGTTGTTTTGAGGGTCGGCAGCATAGTTTTGGAGATATGCGTCGATGTACTTCTGGGAAGTAGTCGTGACAAGTCCCTCGAAGCGGTCCATGAGTTTACGCAGGAAGTTGGTAGCAGCACGTCGACGTGTGTCGTTGTCGGAGCCCTCCAGATCTCTCCTGATGAACTCAATCGGCTCATCTTCGAACAGTTCCACATCAGACTCGCGCAGAGTAAGGTTTGGCAAGATGACCTTCTCGATAATCTGGACCAGAACAGACTCGTTGTTGAAGGCTTCGGCGTGTTGTGTAGATGCGACAGCAGTGAGGAACTGTAGCGCCTTGCTGACCACAATGTCGTACTTGGTCTCGAGGCCAACCGACATGAGGAAACTCCAGGTGCTCTCGATGAAGGGACCCAAGTGCGACCCGAATGCGTCCTCGTACTTTTGAATGTAGAGCATGAGCACCTCGAAGATGCCAGCCCGTACGTACTCTTGCGGTCCCGACTCTGTGTCATCGTCGGTGTGTAGGGCGGGGTTGTCGAAGACGAGGTACTTGTGGAGAAGTCCTGAGATGATTCCGATGTGGTCTTCGAAGATGGGGGGCAGATCCTGGCAAGAAAGATCGTAGAAGAGCTTTACCAGGAGGTCTAGCGTTGTGAAGGCGCTCTTGAGGACCTGGGGGTTGCCTTGAGAGTTTGTGATGAGGGCGTCGGTGTTCTCGAGCAGCTGGAGGAAGGGAGTGCCGAATTTGGACAGGACGTGGTTGATCTCAGTGAAGAGGTCGTCGGAGCGGAACAGCGGCCGCCAGCGCTTGAAGATGGAGTGTGCGACCTGTAGCACGCCGTTGTTGACGACGGTGTTGTCGGGTGTGAGGCGCGAGACGAGGTCGTCGACTAGGGTGTCCCACCGCTGCCAGAAGTCGCTGTCGGCAATGGCGCTAATGGCCTCGCCGAGTTGTGCCTGTAGACTGGCGGGTACGGATACCATGAGGCCAATGAGCTCTCTCTTGATGGCCACGACTTCGGCCTCGGGCAGCTTGTAGTTGCCATCCTCGTCGACCCAATTCCGCTTTACGAAGTTTTTGAAGTAGAGGGCGGCCGACAGTCGGGTCGTCTGGGGGTTCGCGTCCGAGGCGACGATCTGGAGGAGGGAGAGGGAGAAGCCGGGCTTCTTCTGCTCTTCGCTGATTGCGGCCTCCGCTGTGAAAAGTTAGCATTACATGCTGGGTGGTGTGGGGGATGGAGGGGCAAGATGGTGGGCTGGAATCCAGACGAATGCGCATATACTGAGGTATACAGAGACTAGTCTTTCTCTATCCAAGCATACGCGCATTCTTTCCAGAGATGCAGGCTACACCACATGAGCACTGCGGGAGACACTGCTACGCACCTTGCTTGTTCTGCCGCGGGTCGAGCGACGCCTGGAGCAGCTGCGAGAGGGTAGCGATATCGGCAGCCATGGTGACGGGCGTAGGGGTGCAAGTGTACTGGACGGGTGGCTGGTGGACAGAGAGCTCGACTGTTTGGCCGATGGTTGCTGTTTGGGGTGTCCCACTCGCGGCGCTAGGGCCTGTCTCTGTGTGCAGGGATCAGGCCCATGACCCCAGCCCTGCCCGGCGACGACTGCTCTCGATTTCTGGATGCCGTGCTGCTGTCTAGCAAGGTCGAGTCCGCTACGACGCTGCTTCCCGCCAGGCCTGACCCGTTGCTTTC